TGAAAGCTCTTGAGTGAGAGATCCACTGTTACTATATTCACTATTGATATTTTTCATTGGTTGAAGTATAGCATAATTGTGGCAGTGATTAATACAAAGACCTATTTGTGTGGCTATGAAATCCTCCCTCTACAGGCTTCTCCCTCAGGCACAAAGCATTTATAGGTACTTACTACCCGGCAGCACAATGCTAGGCCCTGTGAAGACACAGGAGAAGTGAAAGATACAACCTCCGCCTTAGAGATATCCCTGTCTAGGTAGAAGTATCTATCTAGAAAGATATGTACCTATCTAGACCACCACAACTCAGGATGGCATCTCATGATAGCTGAACCACGGTAATGACACACTGGAGGGATCAAGCAAGCTCCCCATGGATCTTGTTGGGGATTCAGACCTCATCCCCTACCTTGTGTCTTTGCATGTGTAGGAATATATATATGGACATACTGACATTCAAAAGTTGTATTAGGAGTTTGAGACCATCCTGGCCAACATGATGAAACCCCGTTTCTACTAAAAATACAAAAATTACCTAGGTGTGGTGGCACATGCCTTTAATCCCAGCTACTTGGGAGGCTGAGGCAGGAGAATCGCTTCAACCCAGGAGGTGGAGGTTGCAGTGAGCCGAGATTGTGCCACTGCGCTGCAGCCTGGGTGACAAGAGTGAAGCACCATCTCAGAAAAAAAAAAAAAGTTATATTAATCGTATCAATAGATATTTGTCTTAGACTCTCACCTCCCACTCATGCACATATATGTGTACCACACAAAGTGACTGATGAGGGAATTGTATTATTGTTTATCGCCAGTCATGACTTTTTACTGAAGATCTTACAAACATTTTAGAGATGAGCTATCTGAAATAAAAAGGGATGTCTCACATTCCTGAAGATGGTATTGCAGGGAAAGAAGGAGCTGGAGTTGGTATGGATCCAGACCGCACTTTTTCTTGACCACTCACTGGCCATCCTTCCTCTACCCAGAGGCAGCATTGCATGGCCACAGTGACTGAGCTTGAGAGAAAGCCAGACCTGGTGCTCTTTCTATCTCTGTTGCTTACTTACTGAAAAACTTTGGGCATGCTGTCTAATTTTTCTTATTTTTAATTGATTAATTTATTATTTATTCATTTATTTCTTAGACACAGAAATAAATGAATCAGTCTTGATCTGTTGCCCAGGCCAGAGTGCAGGGGCGTGATCATAGCTCACTGTAGCCTTGAACTCCTGGGCTCAAACGATCTTTCCACCTTAGCCTCTCAAGTAGCTAGGACTACAGGTATAAGCCACCATGTCTAGTCTCTCCTGTTTCCCACTTTCCCTTTCTTTAAAATGAGGACAATAGTTTATACCCCTGAGAGGTATCATAAGGATTAGAAATAATTTGTCTATTATGGGATAAATTGTGTTCCCCTCCAAAAAATGTGTATGTTGATGTTCTGACCCCCCAGATATGTGTATGCTCAAATTCTAAGACCTCCTCGGGTTGTGATCATTATTTGGACCTATGTCTTTACAAGGTAATTAGATTAGAATAAGGTCATTAGAGTGGTCCCTGAGTCAAAAGAACTGGTGTCCTTAGTAGAAGAGGAAACACACAGAAGACGACCGTGGGAAGAAGAGAGAAGATGCTGCCTGAAAGCCACAAAGAGAGGCCTCAGTAGAAACAAACCCTGCTGACACCTTAGTCTCCGAATTCGAGCCCCCAGAATTGTGAAAGAATAAACTTCTGTTAAGCCACCCAGTCTGCTGTACTTGGTGCAGTCCTAGCAAACAAATGCAGTGTCTAAAACTCCTGGCATAGGATAAAGAATGATCCCTGCAAATACACAGGCTCCACCTCCCTTCCCTCCCACTTCCTTTCTACCTACTTCTCACTGGAGGCCTTTTCCTCTTCCTTCCTCCCTCCCACTTCTGCTGCCTTCTCTGCCAACCTCCTCTCTCTCCCCTCTCCTCTTTCTTCTATTTCTCTTCCTCCTTATTCCTTTACTTTTTAAGAAAATTTTTTTATTTTCATAGGTTTTTGGGGAAGAGGTGGTGTTTGGTCATATGAATAAGTTATTTAGTGGTAATTTCTGAGGTTTTGGTGCACCCATCACCCGAGCAGTATACACTCTACCCAATTTGTAGTCTTATCCCTCACCCCCCTTCCATCCTTTTACCCAAGTCCCCAAAGCCCATTGTATCATTCTTATGCCTTTGCATCCTCGTAGCTTAGCTCCCACTTATGAGTGTGAACATACGAGTCTCTCTTCACCCAAAATACATAGATCTGTAGCCTCTCAGTGTGAGGTGGGAGGGCTGGCCACAGGGAAGCAACCTAGGGAGTATTTATGCTCCTATAAAAGGAACAGAGGGACTCTGGCATTGCCCCTGGGCAGTCCAGAGTAACAGGAGAATAAGAATCCAGGAGGACACTGAGCTGCTCATGAGAGGGAAGACCTCTCTCAGGATTATGGAGTTTAGCTGAATTGAATCTTGTGAGAACAGGGACTTTGGAGTTTCTAATAGCTCTTAAGTATCTTTTGCTTAACTAGAAAAACAAGGAACTACTATGGAGGGAGATGCCATTTCCTACGTCATCCTTTGGTTTTGGGGCTGAGATCCTGGCTTTGGAAGAGTCTTTTGTCCTATAGTCCCCATTATCTGAATCCATACCTGCAAAGGTAGCACAGAGCCAGCAGGAGGAGACCCAGGATGCCAATGGGAACAGTGCTTGTTCCGCCCTGCAGCTCTTCCAGGGGCGGTTAGAACAGCCTTTGGTAATTGACTTCGCTTCCAGAAAAGACACTCTCTTCCGCCAGAAAAAAATGAGTGTAATCAGACTGGCTGGCAACAGCGTTTTGAGATTTCCTGGATGAGAGGTTCTGTGTAAACGTAGGATACTGTTGTTTTCATACCTGCTTGCTGGGCCAGGAGAGAAGGGAAATGGGAATGCAAAGCAAGAATGCCTCCCTGGCAGCTGGTCCCCAAGCCTCTCAATCACACTTGACGTTTGCAAAAACACTCACAAACTGAGCGGTCATGGAAACAGGTGGGAGAGTGAGGACCAGGCAGGCTAAGGATGAAGACGGGGAATGGCAGGTCAGACGGCAAAACATCTGGCAGAGTGGCCCTTTCCTACTCTGAGCTCATTTCTTTGCCTTTGAGATGTGAGATTGGGCTCTTCTGTCATTTCTGGAGCTCAGAGTATAAAATTCCCGGAATTCCTCATTAGCAAGTATAGAGGGAGTCCTGGTCAGAGACCAGGAGAAGAGATATTAAGGAGAGAAAGTGAGAGTCAAGTGGAGTGCAGATAAGGGAGGAGATGAGAACAGGAAAGAAGGAGGAATGGGAAACAGAGAAACACAAGGAAAGGAATTCTGTTTTCCCAGAATCAGTTCCCAGTCTGGGATTGGCAAAGAGCAGTTTTCCTGATGGAGGCTGTTACCTTTCATTTATGCTGGTGCTGTCATGTCCAACAGCAGGAGGAGAATTGCTTTGAAAAGCATACCTGAGCTTCCTAGGTAATATGCAGTTCAGGGTCTTATTAAGAGAATAAGCAAAGATAGCAGCTGAGCCTCAGGTTGTCCCACTGTCTGGGGGTGGCAGGAAGTCTAGGTCCTGATCCTTTCTTTTATGTCCCTCCCAACTCCCCCGACAAAAGAGCAGCTTTGAGATGGGAGGACTCCTACTGAGGTCTAAGGTGCTCCCTGGCATGACATGAAAGACCCTTTCTGTCTCTTATTCCTCAAGATGGAATGTTAAATAATGCTGCAGGCTTGTACAGACCGGTATCTAGAGAAGGCTGCCTGTGTCAGCCGCTTAATATGCAGAATGAAGAAGTCATAAAGCCAAGTGCCTGTAACGTTTACTGTGAGTGATAAAGGAGGAAAAACACCCTGAGCAGAAGGCAGGTCCGTGTGCCTCATTATCTCTGCATGGCAGGGGCTGCATCTGGTATCACAGCCAGGAGCACCCGCCATGTTGGCACAGGTGCATGCGTGTTAGAGAGGCATGTGCTTGGGCATTCATGTGCACACATACACATGCACACATACACCATCACAGGTGATGACTGACAGCAGGGGGACTGCACTACCTGTGACTGGTGATTCCCAGGGCTTCCTCAACTCAAGAACTTCTCTCCCCTGGGACAGCCACCTTCTCAGGACCGAGGAGAATGATGGAAAAGAATAATAGAATTAACAGTTCACTTCACTGCTACAGAGTACATGGAACACCATGGAAGGGTCAAACTTATAGAATTGCTAATCAGCAATCCCAAACCACCACATCCCATCTTTCCTCTGGCAGTGACCATTCCAAAGACACTGATCCTGAGCTGCAGCAGCTTCTGGCTGTTGTTTTCTGGCCCTGGTGTGGGTTAGAGCATACCTGGTCTGTGTCACAGCCATCCTTAATGCCCTCACTTGGGGAAGAAAGGCAGCGTTCTCCTGACTGCTATTTGTCTTCTCATTATAGAGATTCATCTCTATTTCTGAAAGGTCTCTCTTCCCTTGAGAAATGTGGAACATGTTGTCTTGGGCAGGGTGGTAGGATGCCTCACTGTGGATTGCAGGGCTCTCCAGACTGTGGCCTAGGAACCGCACAGGTGCGTTGGCCTCAGGTGAGTTCACTGCCCATCTGGATTATGCTCTGTGAAAGGTTCAAACCTGGTGACCCGGGCTGCATCTATCAACTACAAGACCTTCTTCTCTACTCTTACAAGGTCACAGTCCATGTCCTGACATGCCACTGTCTCTTCAGTAGGCAGGAGAGCTCAGATTCTCTTCGCCTCCTTTTTCTGAGGTTTTCTAGAAGGAAAGGCCACTATTTTGTATCTTATTACTGAAAATATACCTCATGACCTCTAAGGCAAACAATGAGAGAAAAATCTCTTTGTGGAGAGGACAACTAGATATTCAACTTTGCCTCTTACTGTAGAATCTGACCACCTTGGAGTGTTTCATTGATTATGACCTCACCATTCTGACCTCTGCTGGGGGTTGGCGGGGTTGGGAGGAGGTAGCAGTACTTCTCCCTAGCTACCCAGCAGTTGTTTGACTCAACCTACAATACCTCCAGGCTGAAACATTCATAAAAGACTTTGCCAAAGGGTATGGGAAAACAAAAGGGAAATGAACACAAAAAGCAATATGGGTCCAGGCAATTCAGTTTACAAGGGATGGCCCAATGCTGGGAAGTAATACTATCTCATTAAGCATGAAACTTAAACCAGTGCCCCAGGGAATTTTTACCTTTAAATCTACTGTTTTTTTGGTTCTCCTACTACTCTCTCAGATGAGGACACCCAGCGGATAGAAACCTCTTAGTTTTTAGGAATATCCTCATGTCCTGCCTGCATGTAATGTGTTAGAGTGGAAGGATGTTCAGGGATCATCAAGCAGCGTGGTTTGCCCACCTAGAAGCTCATCAGAATTAAGAAGCTTGGCATAAATAGAGATTCTGGGTATAGCCCCAGATATTTTGATACCATGTTTTAGGAGGGCACTGGTAATATTTTTAACATGTCTCTGAGGGGATGTACCCTTTAGACCTCCCAAAGATAAGGAAACTAGCCCCAGATGGGAATTTTTCAAGGTTAAATAAAAGTTTAGCGAGAAACTTTTTTTTTTTTTTTGAGATGGAGTCTTGCTCTGTCATCCAGGCTGGAGGGCAGTGGCATGATTTTGGCTCACTGCAACCTCTGGCTCCTGCGTTCAAGCAGTTTTCTTGCCTCAGCCTCACGAGTAGCTGGGATTACAGGCATGTACCACCACACCTGGCTAATTTTTGTATTTTCAGTAGAGACGGGGTTTCATCATGTTGGCCTGGCTGGTCTCGAACTCCTGACCTCAAATGATCCACCCACCTCAGTCTCCCAAAGTGCTAGGACTACATGCATGAGCTACCACACCTGGCCGAAAGTTTTTTGTTAATGTTTCTCCCCCTCCACCTATCTTGTGCCTCAATATCGGACCTTGGTAGAATCCAAGGGAGAAAAAGGCAACCTCAGTTTCCATGGAAAAATTTCCCTGTTTGACTCCATAATAAAGAACTCATCTCCGGGGTCAGAGAAGAGGTCCTCAGACACAAGAGGTAAGCAGCTAGAGCACCCATCTAGAAGGCATGTGTCCATGTTCCCTTAATGCTTATTATTCGGACCTGCTGAAATCCAAACTATAAGTATTTCAGTGTCTCTATCTACTTCCAAGGGTCTTGGAACTCAAACTGTGGACAGAACACAGGTTTGGTATTAAAGAACCTAAGTTGTGAATCCAGCTCTCCAACTCCTCGAAATAGCTGAGTGACTTGGGCAAATCACTTCCGCTTTTTAAGCACAGCCCTTCATTGACCATTAACGGGCCTGTGATTTGATACAAAGAAACATGCATCAATGGTTTTTTCAGACAGCATCTGGTCATAAAGATGGAGCAAGGAAGGGGCTGTGCCTAGAACCCCCGCCGATATTGGTAAAAGCCATCTCAGCTTTCTTCTCTGTTGTACACACCTCTTCTCTCCCAGTAATTCCGTCCTTGAGAATCAGTCTCCATACTTAGGTGGTGCAGGTACAAAGAATGGGCACAGGAGGATAGGCGCCACGGGTCATGCTATGAAATCCATGGGCTGACTTTCTGATTCAAAAATGCACTAAGCATGGTACTATCTTAGAGCCATAGGATGTGAAGTCTGGTGGGAGCGATTGAGGTCGTCTAGTGATTCTACCTTCCCTTTTCTGAAGGCCAGAAAAGTGAGTCCTACTCAATGCCACATCACTAAAATTTGTTTTCTCTTCTCCCAACATCAATCCCAGTTCTCTTCCTCTCTTCCTTGCCTACCCTGTCTCTCTCCCCTGTGAACTCTTGCAACATTCTTGTAATGCACACAGCACCAGGATGTTCCTTACATGCAGCTTTTTCATTCCTGCACATCTTGTCCCTCTGACGAGGCTGTCAACAAGGCAGGGATTATGCCTTTTGTGTGTCTGCTGTATGAAAGGCTTCACACACAGTGGATGCTGAATAAAGACATACTAGCTTGAAAAACGCAGCGATGAATATTGCTTTCAGCAAAGAAAGAAAAATGCTGTAGCAAGCATGTGAAGCATTAGGAGAGGTGAGAATGCATATTAAACTCTTCAAGTGACCTTAGCATGCTTCTCCCCTACCATGCTTACCCCCTGCCAGTCCCCTTGGAATGTCATCCTCCACCCTACCTACCACCTTTCAGCTCATTAACCACTTTTCCATCCCCTCTCTCAATCCATCTTGGCCCCATGTCTTGCTTTTCACCACTCTCGCAGGGCTTCCCTTCTCCAGAACATGATTTGTAGAGTTGTTTATGCTTTGTTGGCTGAGTCTCCTGCATAGTCTGGTCTTACTCTCACCTTTTCAAACCATTCCAGTCATAGCCATCTCTCCCTTGTCCTTCTCATCCCCATCTATAGTCTCTCCAACACAATGATGCACTGAGGTTGAATGAAGGGTTCTAGGCACAAGTGAAGTCTGGACATAACTAAGAATGGGGTGGTGGAAGAAGTCATTGCCAAACAGATCCAGAAGGGGATGTCTGGGAAATCCATGGAACAAAGGCTTTTCCAAACTCTGAGCACCGTCTCTATCTCCCTGGTGTCTTTATGCACAGAGATTCTAGTTCTTTACTTTGCCTTGGCTTTCATCAAAATGTCCTATGTTGATTCTCCCTTTCCTCTCTTTTCACCTCCCTTCATACACACCCCTCATCCTCAAACACACACACTCCCCAACACTTTTTCTCTTAATACAAATCACAGGTACAGTTGAAAAATCACAGAGCAGAAGAACAGAAATTATTTTCTCCTAAAAACTCTATTTCCCTTGACTCATTTATATATTGGTATGAAGCCAGTTCTGGAGCTGTGGTCAACAGGAAATTTTATTCAGTTTATCACTCTGTAGTGTCTTCTTTATCAGTGTGAAATCTTACCTGTAGCACAGCGTAAAACATTGGGTCTCTTTTCCTTTAAAGCAAGCTCCCCCTCCCACTGCCACCCAGGCAATTCAAAAGGAGATTGTGGAAGTTGGTTCTGGCCCAGTGCCCCTCTGAACAGAGATGCTCACTGCATGGTTTATGTGCATAAGCAGTCGGAGCCAAAGGCCAGTTGTCACCAGGAGATGTATCCAGGCAACCTTGGTGCTAAGCAACAGATTGAAACTCAGAGTGTCCTGGTCCACGCCAGTTAGAGCAGGCTGTTGAGAACTTGGCCTTGACTGGAGGAAAGCTTGATTTGGGTGGGGTGGAGGATAGAGGAGGAGAGGAGAAAACAAGAGGAGAGGAGACAGGGATATGAGATGGGAAAATAGAAGTAAAGAGGGGAGGGAGAGGGGAGGGAATGAGAACAAATAGAAGATGGTTGATCTCAAACAACATTTCTCATGTTATGAAGGCCAATAGTTAAAGAGTAATTTGAGGTTTTAAAAAAGCAACAATTAAGCTTTTTGAAGTGTTTTTGTACATGTTATTTTTTAGGTGAATGCGTTTCCCAGGCATCAAAACATTCTGTCTCCAGGACCTACATGACCTCAATCATCCATGGTCCTGAGATTAGTCTCACCTCACTTTCTGGCCTGCTTCTGCAGATCAGAAGCCCAGGACTGGCCTGGGGGATTTATTCCTGAGGACAGGGCCCTGGCATGGAAATGTGTGTGGAGCAATGTGCCACAGAATGGAGAGAGAGAGAGGAGAGGTGGAAGAGGAGGCCGGAAAAACGAGTCCAACCTAGTGATGGGGCAGAATTTGGGTCAGCCCTTATGGTCAGTATGAACCCCCTCCCCACTTTCTGCTTTCCTGCAAAGTTCTTAGGAAACAGGTCAGACGCTGTCCACAAATTCCCTCTCTATGGATGAGACAGCTCAGTGCTCAGATGATCCAGTCAAGTCTATCACACAGACCAGGGAAAACAGCTTGACAGCCATATTATCCTTAGGCTGGAAATGTTTTGGTCATAGGATAGAAAGACTTGAGGTATTAGAAAGAAAGGCAGCACCTGTCACATGAGCCTCCACCCCAGGGCCCATTGGACTCCCGACCCACACCACCCACTTCTCCGCAGCATGCTTTTCTCATGCACCTCTCATGCAGAGCCTGCGCTAAACAAGCTTCTGCCTCTATCACCACCTCCTCCATCACCACCTCCTCCCATTAGCTGCAAGCAGTTGCCAAATGGCAGATATCACATGTGCCACTCATCACAGTCTCTTCTCACACACTAGCAGGATGATTAGATGTCATTTCAACAAGGCCCTGGAATAGGGTCATTAAGAGCTGTCATTCCCTTTTTCTAAGCCAATTTGTCTGTATCAGTTGTTGTCGACCATTAGAGCCTCGCAGACTCACAGAGAGGTGTCTGAGTCGGAAATCATTTGGCATATGGCGAGCACGTGTGTACTTATGAGCTGTGCCTCATCCCTGATTGAGATCTATCATCCCAAGCCAAGGCCCTGGACTCAGCAATTTGCAAATCCCAGACTTTCACAGTTTGTCTCCTCCCCAGGACGATTCCTAAAACCAGCTTTGCCTGGAAAGTACCAGGTGCATTTGGTCTGGAGTTGATGAGATGTTTCTTTTTGTTTGGCTTTTAAAAGCCTGACAAGAAGAACACTAGGAACATCAAGTCCGTGGTAGTGCCAGATAAAGATAGTCTGAAAAAACTAGGGATGTGTGTGTGTGATAGAAACTAGAAACTATTCAAACATAAGTTTCCAGGGATTTTATAACACATACACACATATGCTGGCCAAGAACCAGACTTTTGGAAAAAAAATTTATCTGAAACTCACACAAGCCACAAGATGAAATGTTTATTTTCTTTAGTAGAACCCTATGTTTCCATTTCATGGGCATTTGTTTGTGACCACACACTAACTGAACCCCCTTCATCTACTGGAGGAGTTCTCCTATAATGAGCTGAGAATTCTAATACCTGCTGTCCTTCCATAGTCAGTCTAAATTTAAGCAGCACCCAAAGTGAAGTGATGGACACTTAAGCAAAGCATTATTATGGGCCGGGACCTCACTAGATGACTGAGGAAACTCACCTAATTAGGAGAAGATGACTGTAGAGACTTTGTGTATCTAACGGGAGAGAGTTTTCCAGAAGATGGGCAAATCCCTTCTTTTTAAAGTCACGTATGCCTCCAGCATGGCCAAATTATTCTAGTTTTTAAGGAATCCAGGCTGGGCGCAGTGGCTCCTCCCTGTAATCCCAGCACTTTGGGAGACAAAGGTGGGAGGATTGCTTGAGTCCAGGTGTTCAAGACCAGCCTGGGCAGCATAGCAAGATCCTGTCTCTACAAAAAAAATGTTTTAAATAGCCAGGCATGGTGTTGTGTACCTGTGGTCCTAGCTACTCGGGTGGCTGAGGTTGGAGAGTCACTTGAACTCAGGAGGTCAAGGCTGCAGGGAGTCGTGATCATGGCACCACACTCCAGCCTGAGTGACAGAGCTAGAACCTGACTCCAAAAATAAAAAGGAAATCAAGCAAAGAATTCTGGGCACTCCAACTTCTGTTAGCAATTTGAACCAGTAGGAAGAGGGGGGTCTTCCTATTATAGATAGTGATCTGTGACATAAGGTAGACGTTCTAAACAAAAGAAACGAGACTAGTTAAGATCATTCCCCATTTCCTGATTGAACCTGTTGCTTCGTGTTTGTTATCCCCAGTGTCTGCCTTCAACTCCTCCTGACTGAGACCATTGGACCTCCCAGCTGCTAGGTCCAAATCCTACTCCTTGAAGGACCTCGAAACTCCACCTGTGCTGATCAAATTCTCACAATAGGAATAGCACAAAGACCAAATCGCTGAAAAGAGAAATGCTGAATGAAAAATCAAGCAAGAAGTTAATCTGTTTGGCACCTTGTTACCTCTCTTCTGAGTGTAATCTGGGAGGCTGTTAATTGCTTGATTTACTGTATAGTCACTGCCAACAACAATAAATACAGTTAATTATTATCAGGTAACTCACTGCCAGTAATTACCAGGAAATTGAAGAGAAAGTCTCTCCATGATATTGTCAGCTACAACTCATTATCCTCCTCCTTTAGTATCTATTATTTTTAAAATTTGCTTTCCTTAAGCTTTCTGTAGAAATACCTTGGGTTCTACCAGTGGTTTTCTTTTCTTCCTTCCATTAACGGCTGCACGTTTGTCAAGAAGGAGTAACTACAACAGAATCTGTCTTCACCTGTTCCTACCACCCTGGGAAGCTGAAATGATTTTAGAGCATGTGACCAGCCTGATGGGGTTTCTGAGAATACCCAGTCTTTGTTGTAAGAAGGGATCCACCAAGAGAAATAGGGGGAGAATATCTTGCTCTAACCACACAACACATTTTTGCTTAATTTTCTTAAATCAAGACTTTCTTAGACAGGACTTAGAAGTAGTGTGCGGTAAAAGAAACAGAATAATCTTTGGTGTTAGAGACTTAGTTGTGAAAATGTTTAAAGTATTTCTTAAACACCTTAGACATTCAGTTTCCTCATCTTCAGAATAGAAGCCAACGCCGTTTCCATAGAATTTACGTTGTGATTAAGTGGAAGAGTTGCTGAATAAAAACTTTCTGTTCCTCCAGCCTATTCTTATATCTTTCCTTAAAAATTATACCATTTTTTCTTTTTTTTTCTTCCTGGCTTGGATGCTGAATAGTTTAGTGCCAAATTTGTTTATGCCGTTACTAAATATACAGTGTATATCATGCGTGCTAACCACTTACAATATCTTATTTTGCTATTTTGACATTTCCTTTTCCCCACTGTCCTCATTTGAATGTTTTAACTTTTCATCTTTTTTTATGTATATATTTATAGAGTCACCTTAAATCCATATAATTAGCATTAAAAAATTCTCGTATTTTCTGTGTTTCTACTCCTGGCAAACTGTCATCTTTCTCTAAACCCAAATCTTTAGTTTGACAAGAACTGAAGAGGGAAAATTTCTCATTAGTGCAGATGCACTTTCAAAAAATAGTCTGCCATGGTCTCAGAGCCCTAATCAGACTTGGCCTTTGACGGGCAATGGAGAAGTGGCATTCTCCAAGTGCTTCACTTCACAGCGAGGGGAACGGGAAGGTGCTAATGGGAGACAGTCCGAAATGCATTGTGCCAAAGGTTGAAGAGTTCTTGGCCCTGAGTTGAAATTTCAAGTAACATAGTGGGTCTTTATTGAATGTCTATTATGTGATTTGTCAGGTTCATACAGGTATAGAGACAAGATGTCCCACGTGTTCTTCAAAAATGCTCATTGTCCCCACACTACAGCTGAAGTTTTAGCAAATGATTCATGTATCACAGATTGCCTTACCAAAAGTAGCATCAGTTTTGGTTGTATGCGAAAAAATGGATTTCTATTCTTTTGGAGTGGATGGGGTAAGAAAATATGGGTTATAGTAGTTACCACACAGAGGGAACAAAAAAGTTCCCACTCATTGGAAAGAGTCTCAACTCTGAAAGCCATATATCTTATATTCTATGGGTAGGCTTATCTTAATTTAGGGATTACACCATGTAATTATTGTAAATAAAGGAAATAACCAAGCTATGTAATTTAGTTTGGTCGTATCTGCAGAGGATTTAGAATTCTGGCTAGGACAGAAGATGGCAATGAGTGAACAAAACTGTGTTGTATATGATTAAGAGAACAGTGCAGAAATAACAAATATACCACACACACTTACGTATGTTTAAATCTTGCATACACGTACCCATGATGTTTTGAAACATGTATGCGCCTTAATGGCTAAATCAAGCTAATTTTCATATGCGTTACCTTACATACTTATCATTTATTTTTGGTGAGAACACTTAAAATGTACTCTGTTAGCAAGTTTTAAGTATGTAATACATTGTTATTAGCAATGGCTATCATGTCGTACAGCAGATCTCTTGAATGTATTCCTCCCAAATGAAATGTCGTATCCTTTGAGCAACATTACCCCAATCCCTTCTTTCCAGTCCCTGTTAACCACTATTCTACTCTCTACTGCTATGAGTTCAACTTTTTAATATTTGACAAATAAGTAAGATCATGTGGTGTTTGTCTTTCTGTGCCTGGCTTAGTTTGCTTAATATAATGCTCTCCAGGTTTATCGATGTTTTTGCAAAAGATAGGATCTCCTTCCTTTTTAAGGCCTAATAGTATTTCGTTGTGTATATATACTATATTTCTTTATCCATCTATCCATTAGGGAACATTTAGGTTGACTCCATATCTTGACTATTGTGAAAAATCCTGCATCAAACGTGGGAGGGCAGCTATATCTTTGACATACTGAGCTTATTTCTTTCGGCTAAATACCCATAAGTAGTATGACTGCATCATATTGTAATTCTATTTTTAATTTTATGAAAGACTGTCATACCATTTTCTGTAATGACTGTATTAATTTACATTCCCGTCAGCACTGTACAATGGTTCCCTTTTCTTCCTTTCCTCACCACTTGTCATTTTTCATCCTTTTAATACTAGCCAACAAACCTCATTCTTGACTGCCTTGCCTTTGACTGTCGTCCTTGCTCTGCCGTTTCTTGGGCAGCAATTGGTTATCCAGAGCTTTCATCCTTATCTTTGGACAGTTTTATTCTGACTTATTTCTCCCTTGAAATTTCCATCCTCCCACATGTACCCAGTTCCTCTGGTGTCTTGCAGCCCATACCCAAATCTTTCACAGGACCTTTGGGTCTGTGGAACTCTGCAACACTCTTCTTTGTAAAAAAGGGTGGCGTAGAGTTCTTTCCCTTCTTTCTCTTGTCTTTCTTTTCTTTTGCCTGGTGTATCCTGACCAAATCACCTCCGTGCAACAGTCATCTTGTCATCCTGCCAAGTCCCCACCTGCTAAGGTATTTTACTTTTGAGGGGAAAGGATTGTGTTCCTAAACATCTTGTATTAACACTTCCACCTGATAATTTGCATCTTGTAAAGTGTAGGGTGACTTTTGAGCTAACTCAAGGCATGGCATTAATTTTGTGGGCTGCCCTGTCCTTGACTAGTTGTTTGTTCTTGGATCCTTTGCTCTCCTTGCCAAATGTATATCTAGTCACTTTCATGTACCCCAAAGAGGGGAAGCTACTGGCTACCTGACTCTCAAGAATGTGGAGATCACCTTTGTGTTGGTGAGGCATACTTCGCTTCCCAAATTAATGAAGCAAAATCCTTCAGTCTTCATCTTGGTCCAATGCTGGGAACTGCCTTGGCACTGTGGATACCAGCCCTAGCTCTTCTGTGCCTACTCGGTTCCAAACTCCAGGTGGCGTGGCTCACTGACTGTCAGAGGTCTAATACCAGGAATCTCTTCAAGGATGAGATATCTCACAAAAGAGAATACTCTCGAAAAGAGACAGATAAAATGCTGAGCAGGTGTTTCTGGCTTGAAACCCCTGTAGTCTACACAGAATACCTCCGTTGTGTCCTAGCTGCCTTTAACAACAGCTCTGAGGACATAGAGTGATAGAGACTTCTCTACATTGACGGTGTGAAGCGCTACAACCACTTTTGTTGGTTGCTGCAACACTTTCAAGTTGTTGTTGCTACAATCATTTTTTAAAAACTGTTTAGCATTATACACTAAATTTGAAAATAAGCAGCCATACTTGGACAGTTCTACTTTTAGGTATTATTTCCTATGTCTGCTGTCAAAAGTTACCTCTAACGTGATGGTTTTAAAATAACAGAAATTTATTTTCTCACAGTTCAAGAGGCCAGAAGTCAGAAATTAGTACTACAGGGCTAAACTCAAAGAGACAGAGGGTCATGCTCCCTCCAGAGACTCTAGGGGAAAATCAGTTACTCAACTTTTCCAGTGCCTGCTGGCTGCTACATTCCTTGACTGAAGGCCACATCACTCCAATCTCTGCTTTTGTAGTCATATCACCTCTTCTTCTCCCTTTCTTTCTTATAAGGATACTTCTGATTGATTGAATTTCAGGCCTATCTAGCTAATCCAGAATAATCTCATTTTAAAATCCTTAATCACATCTGCAAAAACCTTTTTCTCAAGTAGGATAACATTTTCACTATTTAGTCTTTTGCAGGTTTCTATTCAAAAATATGCACACATATGCACATCAGAAGACATGCTGAAGAAGGTGTACAGCACATATTCATAATAAACCCAAACTTGATATATATTGGATATACTCCAAATATCCATCAGGAGTATTAGATAAACCAAGTATATCCATGTAATAGAATATCATGAAGCAATGAAAATAAACATATATTAACTACATGTAGTATCATGGCTGAATATCACACACATAAGTTTGAGTGAAAGAAGCCAGATAAAAATACATATTGTAGGATTCCTTTTTATAAAGTTCAAAAACAGGGAAAATGAAGCTAGAATATTTAGGAATGACTATACATTGAAGTTTGAAGAGTATGTACTGGTTTGAATAGTATCTTCCCGAAATTCATGTTTACGTGGAACCTGTAAATGTCAGCGGTTTTTTTTGTTTGATTTTTTTTTTTTGAAATAGTCTTTGCAGATGTGATTATGTTACAATGTAGTTATCTTACATTAAGATGGGCACTAAATCCAACAACTAATGTCCTTATAAGAAGGCCCTGTGGCTGGGCATGGTGGCTCATGCCTGTAATCCCAGCGCTTTGGGAGGCCAAGGCGAGCGGATCACCTGAGGCCAGGAGTTCGAGACCAGCCTGGCCAACATGGTGAAATGCAGTTTCTACTAAAAATACAAAAACTAGCCAGATGTGGTGAGTGCCTGTAATCCCAGCTACTCGGGAGGTTGAGGCAGGAGAATCATTTGGTGGAGGATGCAGTGAGCCAAGATCGTGCCATTACACTCCAGCTTAGGCAACAAGAGCAAAACTCCATCTCAAGAAAAAACAAAACAGAAACAAACAAACAAAAAAACAAGGCTCTGTGGACACACCCAGGGAGAATGCCATGTGAAGACAAAGGCAGAGACTGCAGTCGTATGTCCACAGCTTGGGG